TTAAAGTCTTTTCCGTGGAAGTAGGCCAGTGATATAAACCGTCATCATGATTATGAAGAGAACCATAAGATCTAACATAGGCTTGGTTTGGTGAGGGCAGGTGATTATTAGAGTAAGCAAAATGCCGATGGTAAGGCGTTGCTGGCAAGAAATTCCTCGCTCCATATGGATAACTAGGATTATGAACCCGTTCGGCTGGCAGTAGCACCGATTGTCCATAAAAACTTTTCTTAATTTTAGAATCTGTTTCATGTGTTGTGACTGGAATCTTGGCAGATGCCTTATCGGAAATGTCTTTTTGATTTTGTTGGTTAGAATAGTTAAAACTATTCGTATGGGAAAGTCGGAATGGTGCAGGACGTTGTTTAATATTTTTTCTTACAACAACATATTTTACTCCTGTCACATTGTGAGCAGGGGGTGTAGAGGAGACTTTATGGTTTCCATTTTTCAAATCCAATTCATCATTTAATATTCGAAGTTTTTCTTTGGTTTTACTTAAATGCTTTTCAATATCACTTTTAATGCTTTTAAATTTTTTCATTGGAGATGCTGTAGTTGTTGTTGTTGCTTTTGTTGTGGTTGATGAAAATCGTTTACTGGTTGATGTTGTTTCTGGCATGTCGGTTGTGGTAATAGTAGTAGAATCGGTAGTGGAGTCATTTGCGAAAGATGTGGTTTCTGATATAGTTTCACTGTCTGGCATTGGAGTTACACCAAAATCTTCAATTGTGAAATTGTTGGTCTTTTTGATGTGATTCAGTTGCTCTTCGTAGTGCGGGTGATCGGGTGTAATGATTTCCGGTGGATCATGTGGATTTAAGATTTCATAATTTGGCAAACCCAAATCGTAAGTAATGGCACCATCATGATAAATACCATTTCTTAAATTTTTAGGATCTTTGGCCGATTCTGCTAACTCCCTTAAATGTAGGTGATTAAAATGAAGTTGACCATGGTGGTGGTGGCTGCTGTAGTGATCGTTAGTCTTCCTTCTCTCAGAGTAGCTGTTGTGTTGAGGAATTTCTGCTTCTTCGTCCCTTTGCAAGTTACCTTCCTCAGTTTGCTGATGATTGTGATAATACCGATGATACGAATGATGTTGTTGCAAATGTTGTGCTGTTAGCGGCGCATGATGGACCTGACTTACTATTAATTTCGTATTTAAAACTGCTAATGCAATTACAATTCTTGTTAAATATTGAGATATAAATTTTAATTTCATTCTTCTTTGTTTTTGTTTTTCTTTGGTGTTGAATGCGGAATTGATTGTTTGTTTTTAACTTGAGCACTGGGTAAAGACTTCTAAATTTGAAGCGTGTGTTTTTTCCGGTTTTATAGCCATGAGGTTTTGTCTGGTTCAACAAAAATGTTTACACTGTTCTTCTTTTTTTGTCGTCGAGAATGCATGCATTTATAAATCATTGATGAAGAACATCATATTCAGTCGTGACTATTAAATAAATCTTAAAAATGGTGTAGATCATATATAATGACTGTGAAATACTCTATATTTAAAATATTGTTGGCGGTATATATATGTGTCATTTTGTCTTTTTAAGGTGTGTAATAAAATCGGCTCTACATACTGACGGCTGTATTTATAAAAACTTATTTTAGGTTTATTAAACAATTTTAGGCAAAATTCAGGAAAATCGTATTTATAAACGTGAAATAGCTTAAAACACCTTCAATAAACCATTGACAATTAGAAGAATTTTATTGTAGGCTCGACCCTTCTTTAAGCCAACAATAACTTGATTTTTAACAATTTTTTTCTCAGATAAAGATTTTTACGGTAATTTTAGGTTGATTGCGAAAAGTAATTATGGTTTCTTTTAAAATAAAATCTAAAAATTCTAATTTTAACGTTTACAAATTTGTAAATAAAATCCCAGAAAATTTTTAAACGATTATATTTTGAGGAAAAAACTCAAATCTAGGCATTATTGGATTAATGCATGAATATTTGACAATATTCCAATTGTCCAGCACTTTTTTTAGGCAATTTGGAAATGCCCGTCTGTCAACTAAATGATGGACAAAATCATTTGATTTGGCTTTTTCAAAGTTTGTTGGTTAAATATATGTAATGCCATAAAGTAATTAACCATGTAAATTATATTGATTAGTGTTATACTAATGCAAAATATATTCGCCGGCATTAAAATTAGTCAAATATCAAAGAAATTTATCAATTTTTGCAAAAATTTATCAAAAATTACAAGGAAAATAAGTAAAAATAAGAAAATATGTCATAGTGATGTATATTTTGTCGCAAAATATCCGTTATTCGGATACTTTTAATAATAATTAGAAATTATATGTTATATTTATACATCTGAACTAAATAGACATTTATTAAAGCCATATATATATTTATTTTTCTTAAAAGTTTGTTTTTATTGTCAAAAATCTATTATAAACAAAAATATGAAATTAAGAAAACCGAATCAACGAATATTTTATCCTAATTGTACGCAACACTAACACATAAAATGACAGCCATATTGTACAGTGCTGCCAACTTAAACATAAATCAGCACAATAGTTAATACACGTTTATTATTTGTTTATGAATATCACAATTTTATTAATGGTTTTTAAGGCTAAAGTGTGCTTTAACTATTGAGTGCATTAAAAGCAAAATAAGATTTTTTTATAAATACAAGCGTGAGTCTTTAACTGTATGATAGTTAAATAGTTATCAAATGAAACGGTATTTCTTCGAAAACTTTTGCTTATTCATGCATTCAGTAATGGGCACTAAAATAAGTCTTGTCAATTAAATATGAATTCGTACTTCAGTCCATCAACTACGTCCCTAGGTGCTGTTGTTGAAATAAAAAAGCCATTTCAGCAGTGCGAACCTTTAAGAGGTTAGGGAATGCACTGGGGTGAACATAGCATCAGTACGCTCTAAACTAATGATTGCCTTTTCCTTGTGGGGGTTGTATTGGGCTGGTCTCAAGACACCTGTTATTCCTCAAAGGGGCTACTCTATTATATAGCTCGAGTACTTAAGCAAAGTGCTTGTACATGGACCCGGAGAACCATGTACAAAAATTTTCTCCAGCGTGAAAGTAACACAATGGGGCGGTGGTCGTCAAATAACCTCAGCCTGTATGGAAAAGACCACCGTGAAATAAGGAAGACATAGTAGGTGTTCAAGGGAAGCACTGGACATCTTATGATAAGTCCGGTATAAACAGAGTTAGTCCTGAACATACCCTGACCCTTGTCAGGGAATTTTCATGACGTCATCTCGACAAGATTCCGTACATCCATCACCATTCAACCTAGCATCTTTCTCATCTCTCCGACATATTCATAGAGAAAACAACCGACATATGTATGTACATATTTATTCATTCTTTATCGTATTCATTTAACACCGATTCATTCCCAACGCTTAGTCCCATAGTCACCACTCTGAAGGGTTAAATCTTATTGAGATGACGTCATGAAAATTCCATCCCTTGTCTGGGTATGTTCAGGGTTAACTCTGTTTATACCTAACCACAAGATGTCAAAGTGTTATACTTGAACACCGGCTATATCGGCCTTATTTCACGGTAGTCTGTTTCAACCACAGTGTGAGATTCTTGGACGACTCACCAACTCCCCTTTGTGTATCTTACACGCAGGTGGCAATTTTTGTACATGGTTTTGATGGTCCATGTACAGATACTTTGCTCAAGTACTCGAACTATCTAATCTCTTACCATAGCAATCCCATTGAGGAATGACAGATATCATGAGTCAAGCTCAATCAAACTCCCACAAGGTCGGAGCAATCTACTGAGATGGCTGTTGATTCGGCAACAGTACCCAGGCACGTATTTGGTAGTTCGAAACACAGATCTATAATATAAGTTGAGCAACACACTCAACTATGAAGGAAAATCATCGTTAAATTAATGATTAAGGTGCTAACAACTCCGCCAATATTGTGGTGTTAACAACTTCCTAAACATCTCACTCAGTTTCGCCAAACATCCTTCAAACCTTCATACGACAACACCTCAAATACAACTTAGAATCCCTCTCATCCAATAGATACAAGTATCTGCTGGTACATCGCACACCAACACATACCCAGCCTTTGCACTATCAGCTCAAATCAAATGTTTTATTAATCCACAGCCTTGCTTATCCTGAAAATTATATTTCACCATGCATCAATCTTTTAACCAAGCACCCCTTCCCGAGAATTTGGATTTAAACCACAGCCACCGTAGTACGAGATTATGTGGTAGTCTGGTTCCACCTCATGTCAAATCATTTCAAGGAAAGGCTGAGGACACATTTGTTCATCGCCCGACAGACTAGAGGTATTGGTATTTATCCCGGGATTGCAATACACCAAGATACGGTCTATCATCAAGGAAACATGCCCGTGAGAGGCGGACGAACTTAATACAGTGTGTTAAGAACTGGTCTTATTTGATAGATTCGTATTTCGGTTCTCCGAATAAGTTTCTACGTCCTATTGCCGTATCAATAGAGGCCAATCCAGCTGCGTGGTTGCAAACGGAAGTGTTTTTGCATCTCAAAAGTTACACAATGGGGCAGCGATGTTTAGAGTTTACTTAGATCAAGTACTCCAGCACAGTGCTTGTACATGGTCCGACAAAGCCATGTGCAAAAATTGCCATTGCGTGATCTTTGCAAGGTTAAAAAGGGTGTTAATGGTTCGCCTCTAGCTCAACCTTAGCCAAATGTTGTGGTAAAGCATTTGACTTCTGTCACTTAGTGCCATAATTGTACAAACTATTTGGTTAGTAATATTTATATTTTTATTGAATTCATAGGTTTGTTTATTTCTAAATTTTGTTATAATTAGGTAATTATAACTTAACTAAATAATAATCATTGCAATTTTTCTAATGCGATTAAAAATTGTGTACTACTTCTTAACGATGGGGTAATCATTCGATAGCTTTTATTCGAATGACTACCCTCTACTATGCTATTGTCAGCAAAGAAAGACCAAAATGTTTATATTCATATATAGAAGAATGCACATTATACCATGCAGTTCCATTGTATATTTTTTTTATTTTTATATTTACAAATATTTTTTGTTTCTTATTTAATAAAATCTAAATTTAATATTTTTTTACATTCATACAAGTAGAAAAAATTTACTATTTAATATAATGTAAATTGCATTATTCACAGTGTACTTTTCATAGGATTTGTCAGTGATCAAGAATGGGCTAATAGTGGGATGTTTAAGTACATATTTTACTAATACGGTGATGAAAAATGATTGTGGGAATAAAAAGAGAAGGATGGAAACAAATAAACTAAGAGGGAGGCACAAATGGATGGATAAAGGGTATGGCGTATTAAAGTATTAATGATAATAAAAAGAAAAAGTATACTTAAGTTGTGTGATTGAGTTTGAATGAATGAATTTATCTTAGGTAAGTTAGAATATTTTAATATAATCCTTATCTAATTATTTGTCATTTTATCAATTCCATTCAATTTACTAGATTTTGGTAGCTTGTTTGTTGTCTTATTCCTCTTCTTTTTGCTATTGACACTTGTTTTTAATATTTGTAATTGTGTGAGGATCCTGTATATGAAACAAAAGTGCCATAATCGGGAGCATGTACTGCCTTCAGCGCTGGCTTTGAGGCATAATGTACTACAGGTGCTGCTTCTACTTTTTTAGGTTCTGGAATAGGAATCTTAATATCGGTAGGTTCCCGCAAAACGATGGCTTCGAAACCAATATGATCATCAGCCTTGTATTTAACCAAACGACGATAACCATCGGAGTCAATCAATTCGTAGCTACCCTCAACTTTGTCATCTTTACGTGTTTCCTTGTGACTCTTGATATCACCGGTATGGGGATCGTGGACGGAGTAATGGAATTCATAGGCAACTGGTCCATAGTCGGGTTCATCTTTAACTTCAACACCGATAGCAATATGGGCAATAGCCATTAGGCAGATAACAATCTGTTAAGAAAAAAAAAAACGATTTATTAAATGAGAAATTTTAAATGGGAATTTAAATCACATTTATTTAAGTCTGAAGGACCTAAACTTTATTATTACCTTTAAAGCCATTTTAATTAGTTGTATGTTTGATTTTACAAAAATATTAAATCACAAAATTGAATTTATCTATTTGAGTCCTTTAGGATTGTTTGTCACTGAATGTGTTGACAGAACAAGTGTTTAAATGTTTATAATTAAATTCAAATCCTGTACACGTTTATATAGTCGAATTCGTCACAAATTTACTAGCGAAGTGAAATAAAATTAGTTTGATTTGTAGATGGCTTCAACCCCAAAAACATCGTTTGTGGTAGAAATGAAGAAGGCGTTCGTTCGGCAAACTGTTTAAAACTTTTTTTTTTCGTTTAATTTTTCAATTTAAATTTGATTTAGACCAATTTTGTTAGCTCTACGTATGTTAGAAGTAAGTCTATATGTAAATCGTATTGGTGGCAACAAGTAGTTTGATAAGAAATATTTAAATACGATTTGCTTAAAATCACATACAAGAGCATGTATAGTACTCGTATCTCCTAGTAGTCACCCCTTCGCATGCTCTCTCATACAACATGCAGAACTTAAAATTGTATTCATAAATTTATGCATCTTATTACCACAAAATATACACCTGGTGGAGCAGCATAGCAATGTAGTGCGGCATGCAACCATTGGAGCCAGTTAGCGCGTGAGTTCATTTGTATCGAAATAAGTGTTACTGTGTTTGTATGTATATTTGTGCAACACGCGTGTATTAATAACGAAATAAATAAATAAAATTTTGATGTTAGTGGATGGCATCTGATGCAATTCTACTCTAATTTGTGACACTGGTTTAAGAAATAGACAATTTTTTTTTGTAATTTCTTGTCTTCAACGCAATCTTACCACATGATACTGGTAGAACCTCTAGCCATAGACCACATTTGCATTGATTGAACAGTTTACATACTCTAAATTTGGTTAACACAAACACATACATACGTTTCAATTTAAGTAACAAACTTCAATTATCTACTTAAATAACTGGGATGGAAGACACAAAATGGTACCACATGCTAAAATTCTAGAGTACTTTTTTGACCAAATGGTTTAATAATATGAATAGTCCAAAATAGTTAGAGTACTACGACCTTATTTTGGATATTTTTTTGCAGCATTTGGTTTACCTTAACAGGTTCAATTCACTGCATGAATATAACGGATTTGATTATTGAGAAGTTGCATATATTCTTCGGGGATAGTAAAGCAGCAGCCATGATTCTTGCTCAACAAGTCCTTACTGTGGGACAATTACACAGTTCAAAGGTTTCTTCCTGGCAGCCAAAAATCTATTTAAATTCTATAAGGCGTTTCCTAGGATGAATTAGTGATATCTGAGACCACAGTGTCCCGTGAGTAATCCTATTAGTATTCGAAGATCATTTTTGTGAATAACAGATTTTGGGTTTTACCCTTTGATAGCGTGGTTAAGCGATATGTCTATCTAAGCCCTTTTATAGCTTCCCAGTTGCAAGAAAATTTCGATTCCATCTATGATTAGCATCTTTCTCTGGCGCATCCTTGTGGGATACCAAAGAATGGTTAGAGTCGATACAAATAGTTAGTTTATGTTGAAAGGTGAATGTATTTTATATAAGAACCTAAGACATATCGTTCCTGTTGTGCCCACATTTATGAAAGTCATCTATCCGATATTCTGAGACTCGGTTTTCTGCATGTAATTCATGAAAATTTCCCAATCATTATTCCTAAGATATGTAATATCGCTTTAAAGATATATTGATCTAATTTCGACGAAATCATGGAAATTGCAATGATCTATATTTGAGGCACTTAGTTTGCTCAATTTCGTATAATTGACCCGTAATCCTGTATGCCCACTCAGAATACTTCCAAAAAAAGAGCAAACAATTACTTCCTAAGAATGACTTCAGAAGTAGTGAAATTGGAATCAAATAAAAAGTACATCCCTCCTATGACAAGCCCGTGTTAAAATCATAACTTCTTCAGGACTTTTTCAGTACTTCCATGGAGTAAATTATACTTCTTTTTCGCTTTTTAGAAGTTTTTTTTGGTGGGTGCAGTTCCATTAAGGGCCCTTCACACGGTCACACTTTACGTACGACAAGTCTAATGAAAAAGTAAAATGAAATTCCATCCGTATGACAAAAAAGAGAATAAAAGTCGTATGATTTATATTTTTTGTGTTTACACGATTGGTATAAAACAATAACAAAGTAAGATGGAAAAGCTGTTTCACTTTTTTTGTATGTATTTACATAAAAATACATCCCTGATCTAATGCGACTTTCTTATTTTTTGAATCATTTCAAAAAATGAAGAGAGCCATACGACTGTCAAATTTTCCATCCGTATTTTCTCTCAATGTGTGATGGTTTCATTACATATTGCGTTTAGACGATCCCATCCGTTCTCTTCTACACAAAATTTTGACAGATCATATTACTTGTGTGCTCGTGTGAAGGGGCTTTAGGTATTAAATTTAACCTTAACAGCAAATATCGCCCTAGTTGCCTTCTTGCTGTTGGAAAATCTTTTAATCTGACTCCATAATTATTCCAAACGATTTTATAGATTACATTTTAACACGGGCTTCTGATATCCTGATATTGCATACGATAGGAAATTGTGTCGTATGGTGTTCATTTTGACAAAGATGTCAAATAATAGGTCAACCTGTGAATAATATGAATCATTTTAAAAACAGTAATAGGAATGCGTATAGAGAACGGCACGAAAGCCCACGGCACGAAATGTAAAAAGATTCTACAAGACCAATCGGCATTGAAAATTCTGCCAACTGTACAGAGTTACATGCCAAAAATCAAGTGGTAGTTGGACCATGAATAGTAGGAATTATCTTGCTAGATAATCACTTCCCGATATGTCAGCTGTCAGTTTGTTAATAATGGAAGGGTATATCCCAGCTCTGTTATTATAAACAGAGAAATAATTAATTGCGCCCTAAACAGTTTCGGCTTTTACCAAACACCTGGTCCAGATGGATTAATTCTCGTAGATCTTCAGAGAACTGAGTTATTTTCGAACAATAAGTCATACCTAAGGGCTTTACATATTCCCAAGATGAGATATAACGCTGTTTTTATTCCAAAAGCAGGGAAAGCATCGCATACCAAAGGACTATATACCAATTAGTATTGCGTCTTTTCTGCTTAATTTATTCAGTAAATGGAGCGTTTCCTGCCAATTCTGTGTAAATCCACTGCAAACGGAATGGGTTCTTTTCATAAGGAGACGATAAAATAGAAAACTTTGTGCAATTTATTCTACTAAATATTATCAGATTAAAAACTACATGGATCACGCCAAATACAATCCACTGGAATCTGAATAATATGAGCCGGAAAAAAAGGCAATGTGGCTATTTATATCTGCAAGAATACGGTTGGCTAAGGAGTGAATCCGAAACAGTGTTCAACTATAATTAAACTGATTCATGCCGAATTAATGGCAATCCAACAACACTGAATGCCTGTGGTTTTAGCCAGGAGATAAAGGGCGAGATAAAGGGGTCGGAGGAATCTAAGTAATGCTTGCTATTTTTCTTACAAATTATAAGTCATTCGTTCAAAATTAATTGTATGAAAAAGTCCAAAACAGATTCATTGAAATGATTACTGCATATGCTGTTATAAGGAAAATGAGACAGTTCACTTTGTTACTCCCTTCCTAACAGGTATAGATGAGATATCTCGTATAAGTGAACATTTTGTCAACGAAGCCAATTAGTTTAACTCTGAAAGCAGCGAGTAATACTTAGTACATAAAAATCATAAATTAAATGGACCCAAGTGAGCTGATCATTTGAGCGGCTACTCTTTGAACCTAACCTATAATCTTCTATCTGGTATCAGTATTTCGAAATTCCCAACTATATCCAACAAACCAGAGTAAGGTGGTTCCAAAACTACAGCATTTATAAAATTCTTGAATCTATTTATGATTACAGTGGCCTTTCTGGGGCCATGTACAGGATCAGTAAACTTTACCACATTGCAGTACAGAATTTCCAATGAGATGATGATATTGAGATATAGATTACTTTGAATCTACAGTCTATTCCTGTATATCTGAAAGGAACTCTAGGCTACTTTTTACCACGCCCACATACAAAATATATATTAAAAGACGCATATCTCTGAAACTGCAAGAGCTACAATCCTCAAATAGTGTATAGACAACTTTGATATCCATATGAACCCATGAGGATGCTGCCTAGAAGAATTTTAACATTCATTTAAACATTTGGGAGAAAAATGGGCGTTCTTTTATTAGGGGGCCTGTCACCCACCTTCCATATGAATTAAGTACAAACATTTGTATATCTGGGAAACTATTAGATCTAGAATCTTAAATTCTGCACGAAGAACTCTGATTTTCATATGAATATTTGGCTAATAATTTGGCGGTCTTTTGATAGGAGTTTGGCACCTCTCATATGAATTAAATATAAAAATTCGTATATTTGGGAAACTGTTAGAGTAGTTAGAGTTAGGGAGGGTAGCAAAGCACACTGGGTATAGCTAGTCCTTGTATAAAAATGTCTATCTATTTTAAAGTGATATTTTCGTATATATGTATAAAAGGTACCAAAAAAGTACCAACTAAGTAATCCACCACTGTTAAAGCCTGCTAAAATGTACCTACTTATTGCAGTATAAAATATTTAAACATAAGTTTTATACGTTTATAAATACTATTTGCATTTATAATTTTGTAGATCTGTTATAATTTCGTTTTTATTGCAATTACAAAATTATTGCCGATTAAAAGCACACATACATATAGTATATATGTATGTATGTTTGTATATACATACATATATGTATATTTATTAAATTATTTGTGTCTTTATCTAGTTGTCTGTACGAGGTATTTTAGTGTGTCACAAAATGTGTTTGCGTTCTGAGTATTTTTTTTTTGTAGTCCAGATTAACCAGACAGCCACAGTTCAACATCATGTAAATGATTCTAGGGTTAACAAGTAACTAGCATCGCCACTGACTGTTGTGTCTGTCTATTGGTCTCTGTGTGTCCGTTCATGACATCGTAATTGACAGTAATTTGTCATTACTGTTAGTTCGTTACATTTTTTATTTATTTTTTTTTTTTGTTAATTTGCTAGCTCTTTATTTCTGCAAAATGGTCATAAAATTTATGTTTTTAAATGACAAAATTATAGACACCTCAATTTGATTTATTTTCTTAAGTTGATGGCGCAATTTAGAATTTGTCTCGTGCCAAACACACTGCCTGTCATAAACATTTATAAATATTATCTTACTTGTTTGTTTGTTCACACAAAGTGATCAG